CACACAGACACACACAGACAGACACACACAGACAGACACAGACAGACACACACAGACACACACACACACACAGACACACACACACAGACACACAGACACAGACACACATACACACACAGACACACACACACAGACACACACACACAGACGCTGTCTTACCATGGCTTGTTCAATCTTGTTGTCAATTGCAATCATGCTGGTGCTGGAGCCGCTGAAATACACAAGACACAGAGGGGGACAGAGGGAGGTTTACCACCAAACAAAAACAAATAATGTGACAATTACAGCATGCAAAAAAAAATCAAAATTCAATCTGATATACGCTGTGGCTCATTAGCCAACATGAAAAACCAATACAAAAATGAGCCATACTCCTGGAATATTTGCGCAATACCCTGCCACCATGTGCATCATCTTTCCTCGGAGTGACCCACCCAGGGTACTTGTTTCCAGATAATCGTGGAACCTAGCCCTGCCTGTAGAATACAGTCCTGTGAATCACAGGACTCGGTGAGAACAGCAGGACCAAGCTAACAGCGTAACTCCAAAAACGACGGAGTAATGCATACCCTGTTCCAGTACTTCAATGAAGGGGTGGACACATGCCACCCCCACCAAATTCTCTGGCAGCATCACTCACACACTTTCACGCACATCACCTGTAACGCACCAGCGTCAGGCTGCCACCATAATTTGTTTCACGCTAATTTGGTATTTTCCTGAGAATGGCAGGCAGGCCCGCCATGCATAATTCACAGACACGATTGCCAGAGTGACAACATAGGCAGCTGACAGTGTGTGGCTGGCCTCAACCTCTCAACCTGAAAAACATCTACCAAATGGACCCCCCTTGACCAAACCAAAGCTACCATTATCCACTGTCATACACTCACGCCCCTCCCCCCTTTCCCCCCTTGGCCCCTTGTTACCTATGAATGAACAGCAGCAGAGACAGAAAGGCCTTGTCAGAGTTCCGGGTCAAAGTCTTCGGTCCGAGTGTTGCCATTGGGCCCACTAACATGGAGCATCGCGTGTTCTGCTGGCTCAACGCATTGCTGGGGGAGACAGAATCTGTGGGTCTGCTTCCAGCCACGCAAGTGGCTGCCTTGACTGTATCACATTTGGGTGCAGAAGGGGGCCGGCCGACTGAGGAAAGTGGACTCTCCTTGGTGGCAGATCTGGCTGAGCCATTGGGGTTGGTTTTGCAGGGGTGGCGGGATACTGCTGTCTGTGGATCATGCTCCCCGATCTGACTGTCACGGCACTCCTTCAGGCCATCTGCTCCTTCGTGTCTCCGTGGTACTTGGTTGATGCCACTAGTTGCCCCACTCACACTGTTGTTATTAGGGCCTGGAGCTTGAGTACCTCTGCTACTGTGGCCCGGGACCAGCCTCTGAGGATCGGAGCTACACTGTGATGAATCAACACTGCTCAGTGTAGATGCAGTGCTGTAGGCTCCCTGTGGTGCGATATGGATACTGCCATGGACTTTAGTTGTGTTGGGTGGGTCGGCATCTACAAAGTCTTGAACACCTGTGATCTTGACCTTTTCTGCCACCACCAATTCTCCAGCAGGCAGAGTTGGACATGCTAATGGGTTAAGAACCTTCGGAAGACTGAGTTTGGTAGGAGTCTGACTGCCAGCTATTTTGGGGTTAGAGTTTTGAAAGAATCCTTGAACTTTTGCAGAAGCAGAAAAACTTGTATCAGAATCAGAACCACACAGAGTCTGTGTCTTTACGTTTGGGGGTGGATCGTTTTGAACAGTTGCATGACATTGTGCTTGCATATGATTCAGCCTAGGAGTGACCACGTACCTATGAGGAGGTTGAAGGGTATCTGGTTCTATAGGTCCAGCACATAGGTTAGCCATAGGATAGCCTCTCCCAGCAATCAAGTTTGACTGGTGAGCTGGGGGGGGTTGATGCAACACTGGATCCAGAGGCTTGGGGACCAAGGTACAGGCACCCTTCCGGAAGACATGACTGTCAGTTCCCGGCTGGTTCTCCAGTCGGCACAATCCCATTGGCCTGGAATGAGGGCTGGTCCTAGAAGGGTGTTTAGTCGTGAGTCTGCATGGACTTGCAGTCCTGCAGGAGGGGCCTGAGGTTAGCAGAGCTGGTTCTCTTCTTGTTTGAGGAAACTCAGCAGTACAATGAACACCGGGCCCTGATTGACGAGAAACACCACGAGAGCCTGCTGGCGGCCGAGCCGGGGAATTTGTAAGGCAGCACTGTTCCACTTTATCGGGGAAATCAGAGCCACCTTGTTCCCAGTAAGCGATCTTGGCACACCTCTGCCGGCCATCGCGGCGGACTTCCACATGACTGCTTGGCCATGAATCTCGGATTTTGCTTCGGGGCTGGCCCTCCTTCTTTTGCTCTCGATTGCTTGATTTCTCACTAGCCTGATGGAGTGAAAGGGAAGAGGGGTGCCGAGAGCAGGGGGAACTAGATGGCGCAGGCTGCACCGCCAGGGCGCCCCCAAGAGAAGACTGGTCGGGGTGGGAGGAGCAGAGGGCCAGAGATGGGAGTCGGATGGCAGAGGGAGAGCGAGAAGAGCCTGCTGCTCGTTTGAGGGTGGGGGAGGAAGGGGCAGAGGACGAGCCGGAGAGAGGTGAGGAAGAGATGGATGGGGAGGAAGAAGGTTTCACAAGAAGATGTCCGGTGGAGATACAACGGGTCAAAGTTGACTCAAGCTCACACTTAGGACTGTTGACTGTAGAGTCTTTATGAGCAAGGGATGAAGAAGAAGATGAACGGATGGATGGGGGCTGAGCCTGCCGGCGTGATTCGAATGTCGAGATGATCTTTTTCACGCTGACGAACATGCCTGCAAAGTGTTTCTCAAACGGATGTTCGCTGAGGAAGTTGCAGGCTACACTTCTCCTTCTCTTATCAGGATGATCAGCTTACACAAGGTCCTCTTTGAAACCTACCACTGTATATAGCCATACTAACACAATCCCACTTTTATTCATTATGTCAATAATAGACAAAAATACTAATAGCTACAGCAGCTACCCTAAAACAATGAACTATATATGAATTACATTTCAAACATTAATATCACCACATATTAATGGAATATTCGACTATCACACTAAGACATACTAATCAAAATTTTATATTACATATCTACTTTTTATATTGAGTATCAAGCCCCACCTTGATAGACCTGTTTACTCTGTACAGCAGAGGCATTTTCCATGGGGGATGACTCAAAGATTCTGCAAACGGCAGTTTCACAAAGTAAACGCTTAATCACCTCAGCTCCCCTTGCTGGCAGTTTATTATAAACTAATTTTTGTGTGATTATTTATTTGTCATGGCTTTAGCATTAGCCACACAACTCATAAGACATTGAGTACTGATCCAGAATTAGAGCAAGTGAATGAATCACATCAAGTACAACAAACAGAAAGGGATAGAGAGGGGGTAGGTAGAGAGGGGGGGGGGGGGAATAGTGGGAGGGTAAAAATCACAGGCCCTTTGGGTTAATGATGTTCTGCTATCTGCTAGCTCCTTGAGTGGGCAGAGATCCAAAACACCAGCAACAGTTCTGGTCCAGTTTTATTGGTCTATAATCCAGCATACGAGAAAGTCGATCCATACGGAAACACTCACTGCCAGTAATCCCTGGAACGCTATGATCTGTGCACCATTAATGTCTTCAGCGCATGTTTACAGTCGTGAGCTCATGCGCTATGTGGCTGCCAGACAGCATGCAGGTCATTCCGGTTCAAGCCGCACGGTCCATACAGACGGATTTCAGTCACAAGGGCGACGCCGGGTCACCTGGACTTGATCCCATAGAGGCACCACTGAGGCCAAACTGTAAAAAGTATCTGCAGAGGAGCTGTAATCAGGACTGTAATGGTCATTCAGTCCCCAAAACAATTTGGCACTGACTGACGCAACGCTGCGATACTGAAGGGGTTTGAATAATGAGGGTCGCTGTCGAACACGCCGCAAAGGAATAATCGGAACTGGCAGGATGAGAACGATCCGTTACCGAAACAATCCAACCGCAGTGCTCTAATCCGGCCGGTCTTCTCACCAGAATCTTCACTCCGTTGAGAAATCAGCCGCACGTGTTGCTGCATCAATCTCCAACAACTCGGTGTCCCCCCCCCCATCTCTGTATTCCGGTCTGTCAGTGGAGACACAGCCATACACCCCCCCACCCCACCCCATCAGGGCAGAACAGGGGCCCTGTTCTCTGATAGGTCGACGCCAACTAGCCAAGTCCCACTCGCTGGCTCGGACAATAGGAGGCCTGACGACATTCCCAACCCACGCGCTGCCCTCAGTGCCCAGGGAACAGACCCTCTCTTAGCACAGGGCCTGTTTTCCAGCACCCCCCCACACCACCCTTCTCCCAGCATGCTCTGCACCTATTTCCCCAATCCCCTTCTGCACCTATTTTCCTATGCTGATCCCAGATCAGTCAAGAACTCGGTACCTCAATACTAAATTCAAATGCAGCTAAGGCCTTCATTTTTGAGTAACTATCAGCCCCCTTCTTAGCATGTGACCATAAGAAAAATGCCCCCCCCTCAACCTCTCAAGTGTCTCACGCCTGCATGTCGATGTTTCTGTCTCCTTTCTAGTTCCACTTCATCATCCTACACCCTTCCATCAGGCTGGGCGTGACAAAGGCAGCTCAGTATGTCCGACCCTAGGGCTGCATATACGCGTGTGTCCCCGCTGGCTCCCTCGTGAGAGAGGGCGTGTCCGTGACTGTGTGTGTGTCACCATTGGCCCACGCAAAGCCATGTGGCACAGCTGAGCTGGCCCTAGGGCCATGCGCACTAAATGGAACCATTGAGAGCACCCCCACCCTCTCTACCCGGGGACACATGCCTGCACCTCCACGCTTGTTGTTTTCAGCTGGGAACATTTCAGCCAGGCTTCCCGGCCCACTCAAGTCCAACACCGCCATTCCTAACACAGTCGAGGTATGATACACATCAGAAAAATTCAAACATCCAGTGTCGTTATGTGAAAACCTCATGCCTGGTCAGAGGGAGCCGGGGTTGGGCGAGGTCAAGAGTCAGCCTGCTGCAGAGAGATCCGTCCAGAAACAATCTGCTAACCTGCACCCACTGAGCCGCACTGAACCACAGCCAAAAGCCAGCAGACATTCCCCAGTTTTTAAAGCTTTCCCCAGAAGTACGTTCACCTAACTTGATTCAGCGCTCCGCACCTCCATGGGCTGGTAAACCTGGCCATTTCAAACCATTATTTTGGTATGAGAGACTGTTAACATAATGGTAAACCAATGAATCAAATTATATACCCAGGTTGTTGTGGAATTACTCATGATGACACAAGCAGAAAAAGAAACTATAGAGAAAACTATGCTGAATGTATCCTTGTGTCCTTATTTTATGCCAGTTACTACTTTGTTTTAACAGTACATGGCTGGAACTTTAAAATTACTATGTGTGTGATTAATTTCTTTTACTTATTTAATTTAGGCTTATTTATTACTTTTCTTATTTATTTATTTATTACTTTAAGATAGGAGCCATATTTTCTTTATGTGGGTGCAATGCAATTTCGTTCTATATTTGTACAATGACAATTAAAGGAATCAATCCATCTATCTGTAGGAGGGTGCCCGCTAGCCATTTTAGACGAAGCGATCAAAGGTTTATTTGTTTGTTGGTAAACCATCCTTTCCCAGAATCCTCTGTGATAAAGAAGAAAAATCTTCCTGTGAATGAGGGCTACCCTTAACAATTTTCTTTCCATAAATATTGATGTTTGCATACTCTGAGGATAACGTGCACATGATTTGATGGGGACCACTTCAGCAAATCAGCAGAGGAACACTCCACACCTCCCTGCTTGTATGTGACACACAAAAATGACCCATACAGAACTCAATGGCCCCATTCTGCCAGAGGTCATCCTCAGAGGTGGGTCAGTACATGGGTAAAATCGTCAATCAAATATGGCTGAGGACTAGAGTTTAACAACATTCTACAGCTGTGTTTCTCCCCAAAATCCCAGCAATGATGTAGTTGTTCTCTGGACCCTCTTTTGGATCTATGCTCTCAAAGTGGCCGGCAAAGGGTCATCAGCGAGCACATGGGCCAAAGGAGCCATATCGGGTGGCTGGGACCACAGTGGGAGACAACAGTCATCTTTATCACCCGTTCTGGAACCACACTGCTAATGCATCCAGGTCGCCATAGCAACCTGAAGTCTATAGCCCAGGAGTTTGGAGAGCAAGGAGTGGATTAACTTCTCTGGGGTCCTTTGGCTGACGACGCCCCCCCCCAGGCAGGCTACTTGAGCTATTTTTTGCCAAAAGAGAAACGAGAGAGAATTTAAGAAGCAAATAATCCGCTGGATGCTGAAACTGGGGAGATGCTGCCATTTCCGGGGAGGAAGGGAAGGGTTCCACCTCTGCTAGAGAAAGCCATCGACCTCCACATGTCCTAATTAGCCTGATAACGTGTCACTTTATCGCACGGCCAGTTATCCGTGCTCGGCCTCGCGGGATTCCCGTGGTGCAGTGACACTTCCGGCCACACGGACCTGGAGCGGCAGCCCGGCCAGATCTCTAGGAACGCATGGCCGACCGCTGCAGGGCTGCTAGCCGGGGGAGCAAAACACCTGCACGGACACCCCCCACGTATGGCCTGTTCCCAGACCAAGGCCGCCGGGGGGGGGGGCCTGCAGCTTCTGTCCCATTCTGATAGGCAGATAAAGGGCAGACTGTCGCCCCATCATGGGCTGCCCAGGCAGCAGGCGGGACTGCGGAGAGCCAGCAGCACACGCAGATCAGGATTCCCCCGAGGCGGGGCTTATGCAACCGGCCACATTTTCACAACACCAGGAAGTAGAAGCGACGCACATG